CAATTATTAAACTATTATTATTATTATCAAATTGAACAATTGCAAATAGCAATAACTTAATTCATGTTAAGTGGGTACTGCTAGGCAACTTTGGTTCCCTCTTTTTGTGAAATTTAGATAGAAAATGTGTGCCTTTTTATTGTTTGAGTCACTTATCAAAAGTTGCTAAAAGTAGCCAAATAACATTTAAAAATAGCTAAATTTGTTGCTAGGTGCTTTTGGAAGAAAACGTTACTAGGGTAGTCTGAAAAGTTGCTCAATTTAGCAACAAAATTGCGAAGTTGGCAACACTGCAGCCGCCTACTCTCGCCTAGATAAAAATTTGTTTATTTCTCTTTATTTATTCCTTCCCTTTCTAGCTTGTACTTATTTGAACAATGCCTAAAACTTGGTATTACAAGCACTTCCTGTGTCTGTTTGCCTCTTTAAGAAGAATCGTTTTCTGTATTCCCCAATTGTAAGTCGCTTTGGATAAAAGCGTCTGCAAAATGACTAAATGTAAATGTAAATGAAAAAACTTACAAAGCCAAAGGTGCCGTGGTTCTAGGTGGTCCTTAAAGGGTTCATATGGTGCTATTTTAAAGATCATTATTTAGTGTATTTGGTGTAACAGAATATGTTGACATGCTTTAATGTTCAAAAAACATTATTTTTCCAATACTGTACATTATTGTAGTTCCTCTATGCCCCTCCTCTTTCAAACGCGTCGTTTTCTACAAAGATCCTTCCGACAAGCACAGTCTGCTCTGATTGGCCAGCTGACCCAGTGCATTGTGATTGGCCGAACACCACAAGCACGCGTCGGAAATGTAACAAATGTTTGCTGGGATCGGACTCCGGCAGCTCTTCTTGGATGTAGGGCTGCCAAGTCCGTGTTTTTTTCCACACAATTGGGCTGCTTTTAAACTGTTGCCATGGGTTGATTTTCCCAAGTGGGTTAAAGAAGGTTTGAAATATTGCAAAACCTAACTTACATTACCTGTTCCCTCCAGGTGGAATGACCTGCCCAACTCAATCCAAGCAGCAGAGTCCTTAATCATTTTCAAGAAACAACTGAAAACACATCTCTTTCATCTTCATTTGACCCTCTAAATCTAGAGCTCTCTTCTAACGCTAACTCTAATTTTATCTGCTTGTTTTTTTAATTTAAAAAACTTAACCCTCTAACATTTGCACTCTCTATTCTATTTCTATTCTAACTACTTGTTTAATTTAAAAAGAAAAAAGAGCCTTTAATACTAGCATTCTCTATTCTTTGTTTATTCTTTATGCTTATTTTCTTTTTATTTATTATAAATAATGACCTTCTAACACTAGCATGATAAAAGAAAAAAGAGCCTTTAATACTAGCATTCTCTATTCTGTTTATTCTTTATGCTTATTTTCTTTTTATTTATTATAAATAATGACCTTCTAACACTAGCATGATCTATTCTTGTTCTGTTCTATTGACTTGTTTTATGTTTATTTATTATTTAAAAAACAAGCAAACAAACAAACAAAACCTTGCTATGTATATACTGTGTTGGGCAAACCCCGCCTCCACCGTCCTCTTTTTGGAAAACTCAAATATGGTCACCCTATATTAATACAATTTTAATAGACAGCTCAAATGAACACGGATGTTTGTCGCCACCTGCTGTCTCTTATAATTATGGACCACTAATTGTAAGTCACAACCATGAAGTAATGAAGAAATGTAAGGTTTATTCTGAATGTAAGTGTGTGCATGGACAGATCAAACCACAATATTCTCGTTATTTCTTTGTCTTTAATAAACCCTGAACGGTGTAGTGTTACAGCCACAAAGCATCAAACATGTATACAGTAGTAAGGTCAGTATGGTAACATTCTCTTACAGATCATTGCATGGACAGTACTTCCATCAGCACAAAGAATCAAAAGAAAAACAATAAACTGACCAAAAATAAATTAAAAATGGATTTTCCATCGCCTCACAGTGAAATTGACCTTTTGCCCACCACAATATTTGATTAAATATTACAATCATTTAATTCAAGTATCTTACTTGGAAATATTAGCCTTGCATCTGATTAGTAATTAAATAATTTATAAACCCCATCTTTTCATCAAATGCCTTTATGGTCATTGTTAAAGTACTGTAGACAAGACAATAAAATAAATGTGAATAATTTAGTACACACCTTTAGAGATGATACACATCTGATGCTTGAGTCTTGTCACAAGAAAAGCTTTAGCACCTTCTGCACTGAGTAACAAGTGGGGTAATAATCAGTGCAATATTCTTTGTAAGGAAGCATGTAACAATAATAAACAGTGGCAACGAAGCAGGCTGAAGAAGCCTGATGTGTTTTAGGACATTCTAAGTGTGAGCTGTACAAACATTTCACCTCTTCATGCTGACCGTAACAGACCATTTACTACTGAAGTGTCAGAGAAGTCATGTTGTTTGACAAAATAAAATATTACAATAGATTTAAAGGTAATTCGATGCACAGAAGAAAATCTAACAGTCCCAAAAAGGGTTATCCAGTTTTTAACATTCTAATTTAAGAGGCTTTGTTTGGCTACAATGCATAATGCACGGGTGACAGTTGTTAAAGTAATCATTATCTCTTTGCATGTTGGCATCTTGGTTTATTAAAGCATCGTTTTCTTTCTTTACATTCATTTGAAGGTAACTTAGCAGTGGAGAGACTGGAGTGTATTTGGGTGCAGCGTTATAGAAGGATCACAGAGATCAGTTCTTGGGTCACGAGGTTGTGCTTCCTGCTCAGAAAGGTGCATTGTTGCTGGTTGGTGAATGGTCGCTCTCTCCATTTGATCGCCCCATTACTTTGTACTTTGGAAGGAACATACACTATTGTCATTATCAGCAACAGAAATGAACAGTTGTGCAAGAAAAATAGAAATAGAAACTAATCAATGGAGGAAAAAAATGAAAAGCTCTAACCTTCATATTCTCCACCTTGTCCTCAAAGGATTTAAAGCTTGGCGAGTTCCTGAGGAGATATTAAAAAAAATTAATAACTAAAAAACTAGGTTTCAAATAGCTTGAGTTTTTTTTTTTACATGCAACCTACAGTAAGATGCAAAAGAAAAAGTTGATACAAACAGACATCTTTAAAGGGGTCATATGATGCTTTTTTAAAGATCATTATTTTGTGTATTTGGTGTAACAGAATATGTTGACATGCTTTAATGTTCAAAAAACACATTATTTTTCAAATACTGTACATACTGTACATTCCTCTATGCCCCGCCTCTCTCAAACGCTTCGTTTTCTACAAAGCCCCCTCCTTTACATTATTGTAGGTCCTCTATGCCCCGCCTCTCTCAAACGCTTCGTTTTCTACAAAGTCCCTCCTTCCGACAAGCGCAGTCTGCTCTGATTGGCCAGCTGACCCAGTGCATTGTGATTGGCCGAACACCGCAAGCACTCGTCGGAAATGTAACGCCCCTTACCATAATCGCGAGCTTCATCTTTCAAAATAAATGTAAAGACAGAGCCCGAAAGGGGAACAGAGTCTCGTGACAGACACAGTGATGAATATGTGTTTGCAGTACACAAGCCACGGTTAAGACAGCTGACTCCACTTCTCTCTCTCTCTCCTCTCTCTCACACACGCGCGCGCGCACACACACGCACGCACGCACACGATGCGCAAAACTCCGCATTTGAACAATCAATAGCAAATACTTAAACTAATAACAAAACAGTAGCTGATTCAGAAGCACCAGATTGTCATAGCAAAGTCAGAATTACCTCCTCTCCTAGGTTCACGAAACGGTCGTCCATAAAATGCATTGCTGTTCTGTTGTAAGTAATCTTAAAGATTCCTAAATGCATCTACTTCCGGAAGGCCAAATAAAGTGCTTTTGCTTTCACCTAGAAACACACAGCGCCTCCCTGACATGCTGCTTCAACACTAACTGCGGTTACTGAAACCACGCCTTCTTTCTTTGCATGAACATTTGGGCGCATTATGCTAATATTTCCACACAGTGAGGTAGATATGTGGGGGCGTGTTAGAACGAGCCGTTTTAGGGGGGCGTGGCAGAGTCTTAACTTTGATAAAGAATATCTCTTTGGTTTTGAGACTTTAGTCTTTGCAACTTCAGGGATCTTAGCTATGCACAATCAGCTTGTAACACTCCAAAGAGAAAGGAAAACTTGAAATCGCATCATATGACCCCTTTAAGACTTACAAAGGAAAAAAGAAAGACTTTTCTACACGTTTAGGTGAAGCAGTGCTGACACGACGTGAAAAAGCATTCGCTTTCCATGCAAAAAAATAGAGCTGCATCTGAAATATGTCTATCTACTATTAAACTCTTAAGGTCACAACGCTGACCATCCCTTTGGTTCTACCTGATACTATCTGTCTTTTTGTACCTGTTGTACTTCTTTATTGCCTCTTGTGCTTTTTTGTATAAAAAGTGTATATGGACTTGTTGCAAATGGTCAACCATTCCATTAAAATTATAGTAATATTACATGTAACTACTAGACTAAGTACTAGAATTTTCCTCAGCATGGAAGTTGACTAAAAGAGATTTGTACATCAGGTGAAAGACAGAGCATTCAGATATTAATATGCAGAGGGGAAGGGCTGGTACTTTACCTCATAGCTGGCATACTTAAAGAGTGACGCATGGAAAAGTTGCTACTGTAGAGAGCAGGTTGGAGACAGAGCGAGCAGGGAGAGTTAGCCGAGCAGACAGCGTTAGCCGAGCACAGAGCAGAGATAGAGAGAGAGAGAGAGAGAGAGAAATGGCAGAGCACAATGAAAAACTCATTAAAGCATCAGAACAAACTTTAGACAGGTTATTGTATCTAACATCTCTATCACAGCCCTAGTAATTTAACTCTGATATCAATGACAGAGTTAAAGGTAGATTCAGATACATCAGTCGCTTCACAGGTACCATAGAATGCTCTAGAAATCGTCATAGGTACAGGAGACCTCAAAAAGATGGCTGCCATCAGTGCAGGCTCTTGTATAGCTCTTACCCAGAGTTAGAGTACGGCAGAGCCCTGAGCAGCCCGAACGCAGCAGTGTGGAGAAAAACACAGCAATAAACAAAAGAACCACTTCAAACCTCTATCAGAACATAGTATTGATAATATATACAGGACAGGAGAGAGAAAAATACAAAGTAGAAACAAGCTGTGCAAATACAGGTTGTAAAACAGGATGTTAGTTGGCGCTAAACTACTGTTTAAAGGTTTGGGGTCAGCAAGATTTTTCTGTTAATTTAAAAGAAATGTAACACTTATTCAGCAAGGATGCATGCAGCACAACAGTTTTCAACACTGATAATAAAAATGTTTCCTGAGCAAATCCGCATGTTAGAATGATTTCTGAAGGATCACGTGACACTGAAGACGAGTAATGGCTGCTGAATTTTAAAACGTTAAAATAGAAATTGTAAATGCAGCCTTGGTGAGTATAAGAGAGTGTAAAATTCTTACTGACCCCAATTTTTTTTTTTACAGTAGCGTACGTATCAGCTTAGATAGTCAGAGAAGCAAAAACAAGTGTATGCACAGCAAGCATAATCACACAATTTGAAAAGCTATGCAAATTTACAACCTGTTTGTTTGGTGTCAAGTCAGAGCAGAATGTCTCATTTTGATAAGCTCTGTTCCTTGACATGGTGTTCAAAACAAGCTGTTTTTACTGCTAAACACCACAGAACTCATGCTACTGCAGCCATCTGGAGATTTCCCACCATACAAATACCTCATTATTACAGCTACTGACAGTCAGTGGCTGGTGGCTATTAGTCCAAGTCTGAAGACAGATGCTTGGCTAAAATGTGTTGAATATCAAAGTCTTTTTCATGTTTGAATTATACGACCGGCCCATTTCAATTTAATATTAAATCAAAACTGAGCACATTTTCTTTTTTAATGGTCTTATTCAGCATGATTCATCAGTGCACATTATTTCAAAGAAATTATTGTCATATTACGGCTGAACAGTATTCAAAAACTGAGGTGATATATTTTTAAAGCTTTTATCCATGTATTCTTGATGTTAAAATATAAGGGCCATTTTATCCTAACAGGACCAGACTGAAAAGAGGATCTGGACCCTGTTTTCTTTAGAATACAACTTCGAAACATGAAGTCACAAGAGCTTCAAATAATCAGTACATAGGAAAACAACCATCATACAAGGAATCAGAGGAATCACAGAGTAACTGATAAAAAAGGAGAATGTAAAGTTTATGAGATGGAAGAAGAAGAAAAAGATGGGAGATTGAGATTACTAGTAGAAGGAGAAAAAAAAAACAGTGAGAAAAGGTATGCAGAGGAAGAATATATAGTTCACCTCATCTCTCCAAATTGGTTTCTGATGGCAGAGCCCACTGAGGAGAACGCAGCTGATGTCATGTGACCTGCCTGAGACAGAGTCTCCTGAGTCCTCTTATAGCTAAAGAGTAGAGAGACAGAAGAATTTCTCCTTTAGCAGTTGTCAGTTATATTTTGAACATACCAGTTGACATTGAACTACTGCAGCTATCAGCTCAGATAGAGAGGCAACTAAGAACCAAGACAGCAACAGAAAATTCATTCTAGAGGTGAATGCATCAAGAACTTGTCAACATTTTTAGATAAATAAAATGGCCATGCAGCTAAAGATTTAAACTAAACTTCAAATTTGAAATTGCCTGTTAACCTCCAAAAGTTATGGAGTTAACATTATGGGAAAAAAACACGATGTAAAAGCAACATGAAAGTAGTCTGTACAATTTATTCACTGTATGAACTACCGTTCAAAAGTCTGGGGTCTGAAAACTTTTTAATGTTTTTGAAAGAAGTCTCTTATGCTCACCAGGGATCCATTTATTTGATCATCAAAGAGTAAAAACAGTCATTTAAAATGACTGTTTTCTACTCGAAAACCTTTTAAAATGTAATTTATTCCTGTGATGGCAAAGCCGAATTTTCATGATCCTTCAGAAATCATTCTAATATGTTGATTTGGTGCTGAAGAAATGTTTATTATCATTACCACTAGGGCTGGGTATCGAGTTCGTTACTTTTTAGGCACCGACCGAATTGCCTCGATACCATCGAGTATCGAAAAACGTCTTGTCGTTCGGTACCAAATTTCGATACCTAAGGGGTTAATCTCATCAGCGTCAGTGAGCCAATAAGCCTGAGAGACGCATAGACGCAGGTATTCACACGCACTTAATCTCTATTAAGTGCTAAAAAGACTATTTGAGCTTTATTAAAACTATTTTGCACTGATTTATAGTGTTGGTTACATTTTGTTCCTTTGTGCAGTGGCTCAGGAGATGAGTCTTTGAGTTTGTATAAACATCAACAAGCTGAAAAATAAAACCAAAGTTTTTTTTTTAGATAATGTAATCTTGTTAAAATTGATTTAATAAAATTGGTATCGAAAAAAGTATCGTTCAGGAACCGGTATCGAAGTCAAGGTATCGGTATCGATATCGAAAAATTTTGAACGATACCGAGCCCTAATTACCACTGTTGAAAACAGGTACACTGCTTAATATTTCTGTGGAAACAGTGATACAGTAGATTTTCAGGATCCTTTGATGAATAGAAAGTTTAGAAGAACTGCATTGATTAAAAATGTAAACTGTTTGTAACCGAAATGTCTTTACAGCCACTTTTGATCAATTTAATGCATCCTTGGTGAATAAAACGATTAATTTGTTTTGAGATGACAAAAGGCTGAATGAATTAAAGAATCTTGATTTTCAGGTGAATTATTCATATACTGTAAGAGAACTAAAAGCTAACAGGACTAACTATCTAGACACCCGTGTGTCCATCTTTTTGCACCAGATGCTGCTGTCTGAATCATAGGGTACAGAATCTGCACCTGGATTGAACACACACACACACACACACAAATGTGCAGACCCATATACAGACAAGTGCACACTATTCACAAACACACACAGATGCACAAGCATGTAGATAAGCACCTGTAAATATACACCCTTTTTTCACAGTTCTTTCAGTCTCTCAGATGTAATGTAATCTCTGAAGCAAACAAGTTCACAGCCACAGAGAATCCCTCACACAGTCCTCTTATGGCCTTAGGTAAGGCTAAGCCACTTTGCTTTGGGAAAATCCCATCATGTGTTCTCCAAGTCAGCTTTCTCAGCACATGCCCCAAGCACAAACACTACACCCTTCCCAAACTGCACAACCTGCCCTTTCTATGCAGTCTCAAGGTCTGAAATCAGATGATATCGCAGGGCACTGATATCTAATGAGAAATGTCTGACAAGGCGGTTAGTGTAGCAGCTATGGATCTGGGTTGGTAACACAAAATAAAAACACAGGTTTGACATCATTTATTTAGATCAGTGGTTCCCAACCCTGGTCCTGGAGGCACCCCAACACTGCACATTTTGCATATGTCCTTTCTCTGATACAACAATTTCAGGTCTTGGAGTCTCTACTAATGAGCTGATGACCTGAATCAGGTGTGTTTGATTAAGGAGACATGCAAAACATGCAGTGTTGGGGTGCCTCCAGCACCAGGGTTGGGAACCACTGATTTAGATCACTGTGCCAATAAACAAGATGCCCCTAAAATAATCCTCATTAAAATTATCCTTTATTCAATTTATAGAAAATCACCCAGAAGCTTTGTATCAGAGTAAAGACTTTGTTCCTTACAGTCTTCTGATTTATGATCTGATCTGTTCGACATCAGAGGGGTCTAATGGGTCACACTATGACGCTTGGGAAAGTTTGTGCTAGTGTCACCGAGAAGCTTGTTGTTTGGTTTCTTAAACCATAGTGACATCAGTGCTCTTACAAGATTAAAGTCTCTTAATCGGAGGAGAAAGGTCTTCAGCCTATTTCAGGGATGAAGTGCTGAGTTCTGCTTTATAGGCCTGGCCAATAATAACAATGCATGAAGTATCATATTAATGTATTATTTTATCACGTGTATATTAATTTTAAATTTAACTTAATATATTAGGTAACATTTTATTTAACAGTGTCCTTTGTTACATGTTACATGCACTTAGTATAGTAATAACAGTAAATTATGCATAATTACAAGCAACTAACCCTAAACCAAACCTTAATACTAATCCTATAGTAAGAACATGTTGTTAATTAATATTGCTTGGTATTTAATTGCATAATTACACTGTTACAAGGACACCTTAAAATAAAACGAAACCATACATATTTATATGGCAGTTTGAAATATTTAACAAAACCCACATAAAAATAAAATCCACACTGCAGTCACCCAATGCAGGCACATTTTGAACATTTAATAATAAAATGTATTAAATATAAAATTAAATATTAATGACACCAACAAAAAACAAACTCACGCATCAGAACGTCCAATTTCCTCAAATGTGGCCGAAGCTGTAAGATATCTACAAACACAAATTTCCATATTATTAACATATAATAACGTACAAAAGTTCTGTTTAAATTTTGTGAACTGTGCACGCCGCAACAAACTTATGGATGTCAAAACATTTTGACATCAGACCTTAAATTGATAACATTTAAATAGTAATAATAATAATAATTTGAAGGGCTAAGAAAGGAATGGTGCTGGACCAGAACACAAGCCTAAACTTTAAAGATGACAATACTAGAGTTTAAATATATTGATCTGAATGCAAATCACTTCAAACACAACCACCCAGGGATGTTGAAAAACTCCTAAAACAGGTTTGACTTCTCTTTTAAGTACTATGGCTTAGCTGTATAAAACCCTGCCTAGCACTAATATGTGAGCTATTTTTGTATATACATCAACTGCACATTACTGAGCACTAATCTCAAAATGTTCTGTTAAAGAGAATCAAAAACCTTCCTCAATGTTACAAGCAAAGATGACAAAATAACCTTAAAGTTCTCTTATTTCCTCAGATTTTTGTTCTTAGTTTGTTCTATTTTTCTTAAACTTCACAGAGCATCAGAAGCTAGCCAGCTTCATTGTTCAAGTGATATAATCAACACTAATAAAACATATAGCTTGATACATAAACTGTTTATTATATATATCTTCATTATTAAGGATGAGATATATGCTGTCATAATATATTGGTAATTACAACACAATCTTTTCTTTTATTTTCACTGATTGATTGATTGATTGATTGATTGATTGAGAGCTGGCAAACTCCCATTTGTAGAAAGGGAACATAGTAACTCAGAGTCAGGAGTGGGATCATGGGAAGGGCCACGAAGAATACAAATGAAAAAGAAACAAGAAGGTAGCAGGTCCACACCTAGCAAACAGAATCACAAGACCAAGCAACAACAGGCAAAAGATAGAAAACTCACAAATTAGATGAGGTAACTCTATGATTCAAGTCTCCAAGAGTTTGTGAGGTTCTCATATAACTAGAAGCAGAAATATAGATATATTAACAGAAAAAGTCAATTTTAAAGAGTGTTTAGCTCAGTCGCTAGTGAAAGAACACCAAAGATTAGCTTCAAGAAAATAAGAATACAGAGATATGAATTTGGTATATATAAATATCTTATATATACACAATGTATACTTTTATGCATATACATTACATATTGAAATTTATAAAAATATGTCCCATCATCGGGCACTGTTAAGAGATTCAAACAGCACATGTATAAAAACACAGCATGAGATTAGAAAAGACAGATGAAGGTTAAGGTGATGTTCAGTCAGAGTGGACAGGTTTAACAAACAGGAAGTACTCACGCATCGGAGCACTGAACTTCATGCCAGCCTTTGGTGAAGTTCTGTTTGATTTCAGAGAGGGGACTGATGCCAAGTCTGCGCTTGAGCTCAGCAGCGTGCCTCTCCTTCGCCACGAGAACCTGTCTCAGTGTCTGAATCTCATCCTCCACCTAACACAGAAAAGTACAAGATAAAACTAAACAAATGCTTAGAATTTACAATTAATTGTTAATTAGATCTTCCAGGGCTCAACAACTGGCCTTACCATAAAATAAAAACATTTTATCAGTGATGCACCAAAATGTGTGTGTTTTTTTTATAGAAACATCGAAACCATAATATTTTTGCCTGCCGAAATTTGTCTGCATCACTACATTTTATGTTTTAATCATATTTTTTAAATGTCAGAAAGAATATTTTTTATATTTTTTTAAATCCAAAACAAATATATTTCATATAAATACTAATTTTTCATCTTTTCATATTTTGCAGAATATCCAAAACTGTTCTTTTCCATTTGCAAAAGAAGTGAATGTATATTGTATTTTTTATAAAAATATTTGTGAAATAACTGCTTAATAAAAACTGTACTTTGGTGCTGCAAATACAGCATATTATACAACACCAAGAAAACCAACGTTTACATCTGAGCTGAATTCTAGCAAAACACTTCAGTTAAAATGGTTAAAAGGTGAGATGAAAGTAAGTAGCTTACCACAGCATTATTTTTTGTTTTGTTTACCTTTATTTAACCAGGAAGAAACTCATTGAGATTAAAAATCTCTTTTTCAAGAGTGTCCTGGCCAAGATAGGCAGCAGTACAACCATACATACATACAGGTACAAAATATAGTAACATAAAACAACTGAAATAGCGAATCCTTTAAAATAAACCACAATCAATAACACATCAGGCAGAACATCTACAGCCAGATGTGACTGCCTCCAAGTCAGTTAACATCCTCTTAAAAGCGACCAATGAGACCAGCGTATTAATTTTCATAGATTTCTGTAATTTGTTCCATGAAGAGGGAGCAGCATACCTAAAAGCCTTTTTTCCCAGCTCAGTTCTAACCTTTGGAACAGACAGAAGGAAAAGATCCTGTGAACGAAGATTGTAAGTCCCAGTATTATTTACACTGATGTAGGTCAGAAGGTAGGATGGAAGTAGACCTAAAATAGCTTTATTATCAAACCAGCTGATAGTTTGTTCAGAAAGTCCAGCCCTACACAGTCTGTGCTTAAGCACTGTGTGGTCCACTGTATCAAATGCCTTAGAGAGGTCAATAAAGAGGGCTGCACAATGCTGCTTTGATCAAAGCATTATGATCAAAATTGTTAACAAACAATTCAACCAGTTGAACATGTTACCTTACACTTGAACAAGTTAAGTTAAGTGGTTAGGACAGTCACTCAGACTATCAAAATAAAAATACTTGAAAAAGTTTAAATGCATTACTTTACAATAACAACTACATATCCTTATACGTCTCCTTCTTCATTTCATTAAATTTTTCTTGTTGATAAGAAACACCTAAGCGTCTGCAACCTTTGTACATTGTAATGTTCATGGCTTGTCTGTGCTGAAAATGTAAAGGTATAGTTCACCTAAAAATAAAATTTCTATTATCATTCTGTTATCATATTTCATGACCAAGTGTTCAATTTTTTTCATTGACACAGACACAAAGTAGAAGAAAATGTTTTAAAGCTATCGTTATTTAATCATTGCCTTTAAGATGCCTACAAATTCATGTTCACCATGTAGATCAGGGGAATGAAACAAAATTTTCCCTGGCGGCCCGAACCACCCCAAAAGCTAAAACCCTGTGTATGGCCATAAGTGTGACGGTTGACTGGGGTTCAGGGTGGAAGTACCTTGGTGAGCTCCACCTGTATCTCTTCTGCCTCCTCCTCTGCCAGGCCTGGTGGTAGCGTCCCTCCACTGGCTACACCTGTAGATGACACTGAAGAGCCTATAGACAAATAAAAAATATGAAGGATTCAGGGCAGAAGAGCTGATATACTGATACTGTGGGTCTTCACATCAGTGCCACAGGTTCAGGGGAGTACATGAGGGGCCTTATTCAGACAGTGATGTCCAGAAAAATTACAGCTGTTTCTTTTGTTTAAAAATAGAGTAGTTACTCTAATTCTAGTTTTAAGTATCTCCAGCTAGGTCAACACTACATGTTCAGCTGTCAGGCCGGTGTAGCAGTCCATTCAGTTCCCCTCTGGAATTCCTGTTCCCCCTCGACGAAGCGTGTCTGCTTAGCCAGCGGGATGCCAGGTCTGCGTAATAAACCCGACCAAATTGTTAATCAAACATTACCCCAACGTAGCCGAATTCCGCGGAAAAAAGACAGTGGATTTGGCAACACTGCAGCATGCAAATACACCAAAACACAACTGGATGTACGGAAAGCAAAAAGGGACAAATGTCTTGTTACACTGCAGCATAGTAAAATGATTCTCACACTGTGATTTTTTTGATCTTGCAATTGTTCCTTTGTTTTTGTCTTATGTCCGAGTTTTTGCAGTTTAATTTAGCCTATGCAAATTGGTGCAATCTGTCCATGCTGACGTCCAAACTCAGGGCATAGGCTATTACTGTTTCCATATAGAGCAGATACTTTTTGTGCACAAAAGAAAAAAAAACAACGACTTTATTCAACAATTCGTCTCCTCTGCATCACCCTGTAGCGCCATTTTGGAGAGTATCAGCTGGATATATACAACGTATGCTGTTCTGTGTCAGCTGCGTCACGCCGGATCTGTTTCCTACGTTGTGATTTGATCTGAACGAAAACAGCGTATCCGTGTGACGCAGCTGACACAGAACAGCATATGTTGTTTACGTCCAGCTGATACTCTCCAAAAAGGGCGCTACAGGGTGATGCGGAGGAGATGAATTGTTGAATAAAGTCGTTGTTTTTTTTCTTTTGCACACAAAAAGTATTCTCGCAGCTTCGTAAAATTACGGTTGAACCCCTGATGTCACATGGATTATTTTACAGATCTCCTTGCTACGTTTCTGGACTTGGGAACATTTCAGTTGCGTTGCTGTCTATGCAGGGTCAGACAGCTCTCAGATTCCATCAAAAATATATTAATTTGTGTTCCGAAGATGAACGAAGGTCTTACGGGTTTGAAACGACATGAGGGTGAGTAATTAATGACAGAATTTTCATTTTTGGGTGAACTAACCCTTTAAAACTATTTTCAAGTTTCGGATTAAAGACGGTATTTTGAACCATTTGACTTGCCGTACATCCAGTTGTGCTTCTTGCGCACGCTAGTTCTGATCGTACGTATTGTAACTAGGCAACTATGCAAGAATTGTAGTATGGTTGTGTAAAGGGAAACCGACATTCCGAGGGGAATAGAATCGGCTGCTTCACCGACCAGCACTGATCTATTATAGACCTGGCATTTAATGTGCCGACAGTTTTAGCACACCCAATTAAAGCCACTACAATTAAACCCACAAAACACATTATTAAAAGGAGTTTCTCAATAATATTTACGGTTTTCCTATAGGGCACTCTCTTAAAACCCCTTTAAATAGGAGCCCCTTTTTATTAGCGCCACCCACTAGACACGCATCTTTACTGCACCTGCTCAAAGCACAGAAAACTCAGCCACAGACGACACTTACCGTGCTCAGAGGAGTCCATTTCGGATAAAATACGATCTTCGATTATGTTTACCTACGTGTAAACAAATGTCACAAGCGTATATTTTGGGATGGAAGGAAAAAGAAAGTTCACCCTCCTCGACCAGGCTCTAAGGTTTAACCAGCGACGAGCTTAAGCTTCCGGAGCGCGGATATGACGTCACCACGCCCTACGCTTGCTTCTATGCGCTGTGAATATCCTTCGAACTACGTTATTATGGTTAATATTCATTGTTTAAAACATGTACCATCATATATATATATATATATATATATATATATATAGAAGCACCAGTAACCAAATCCTTTTACAAATATATATTTGGTATTTGGTTGTAGGCTAGTTCTAAATGATTATTTTTCAGTGCACTTTCTAATATTAAAATTTAGGTAAATACTTCATTCATAAATATAGCAATGCGGATAATATTAAGGAATTAAGCAAAAAAAATTCAAATATATAGTTTATTAAATATTATAAACAGTCTATATAGAGTGGATGGGGTTCTCTCACTTATTTTTGTAATTTTGTAGTTTTTATTTTAAGAAGACTACACTCAACCACATCAAATGTTCATAAACATTTATTTTACACCAGCAGCAAATAAATGTTTTTTTTTCTTTTAGTCATACAATAACCATGCTACAACATAAAGGTCTAGTATTATTCTTTTTAATAACTCAGTGTATGTACAAGAGACCTTCACTATAGAACTATGAGTAGCATAGTTTCAGAGTCAAATTCATGTAACATACCATTTGAAACAAGGACAGTTCCTTATAAACATGACAAAATAAGATCATAAATAAAATTAAAAAATGCATAAAATTACCATTTCACTATAATTAATTACACTAAACAATTTCTCTTCTTTCTGAAGACATAATATGCAATAATTTCCTGACCATTTTTCTCTAGTATATTTTATTTTTTTCTCCTTTAAGCAAGGTTCATTCAACGTAAAATCCAACATTTTAATGACTAAGCCATACTCTTTATACGAGTGTAGTTCTGATACAGACAATGCACAGGAAAAAAGACCACAGAGGCTAACATCCATTAAAAACCATCTAGAGCATTGGAATGAGGGAATGAGAAAGAGAGTAAGAGAGAGAGGAGAAAGAAAGCAGATAGTGACTGAAGATACTATTGTACTCCATAATGAAATGTAAACAATTAAATGAAAAATCATTGGCCTTTGAAGAGTAACTAGAAAAGTGAATGAACATGGCTGGTGACATTTGTATTCGGCTCCAGTTAGAGCTGACATGGAAAATAAGAACAGACAGACAAATAAAATTCAGACCTGCCCACATAAACAGGCAGTGAGTAAAAAGCATGAGTTAATGGCATTGATGGTAATTTTAGTGTTTGTATTTGCAGATTCAGAAAATCAGGTTTGGTATAAGAAGGTTATTAAAGCACTTTCAGTTATACTTGAAGAGGGAACTGACCGTGTGTATTGAGGCGACTCAGACCCTTTTAGCATCACCACACACACACACACACACCATCTTTTTCACAATTTCACTGAAAACAAAGTGTAAACATAATCAAGAGAAACACAATAAAGTTTAAGGATCATATTACTTAACTAGGCTATATGACACAAAAATAGTTTAATGGTTTAGTTGAATCTTTTGAGGGATAATGCCACATCTCCGAGGCAGCTCAGAGGAGAATCTATCAAATAAATGCTAGTGTTACAGCATTAAACCTTAGCTGCTCAAATGATCTTATAAACATCAAAAAGACTTAAAGGAAAGCGCAACTGCCAAGTTTAAAAAAATCACAGTCTTGCACTGTGAAAAAGCCTGTTTTAGGACTATTAAAGGGTTAGTTCACCCAAAAATGAAAATTAGCTCATAAATTACTCACCCTCAAGTCATCCTAGGTGTATATGACTTTCTTCTTTCAGACGAATCCAGTCGGAGTTATATTAAAAATTGTCTTTGATCTTTCAAGCTGTTTAATGGCACTCACCGGGTGTTGCAGTGCATCAGTCCAAAAGAAGTGAAATAAAAAGAGCCCATCCATAAAAAAAAGTGTCTCACACAGCTCCGGGGGGTGAACAAAGGCCTCCTGTAGCGAATCAATGCGTTTTTGTAAGAAAAATGTCCATATTCAAAACGTAACAATCACTTTAATGTAGCTTGCGCCAACAGTTGTACACGGAAGCAGCTCCGGGCGGATGA